TATAAACCAAAGAAATGGACAAAGTACAATTTTGACCTGATTGTAGCGTTACAGGAATCTACAGGGGATCAACATAGTAACTGCAATTCATCCTGAAGGGAACATGAAAGTCTTTCCGAATTTCATGGCAACCCATTCATAAGTATATGAGACATTTCCCTAAAACACATTGCCATCCATAGAGCCACATTGTGCTAGCATAGCTAAAAAGCAGCTGAACAGTAGGTTAAGATGAATATAAGTTCAAGCACACAATGTTAGGAATGAGTAGAGAACAAGAAACAGCATGCAAAGCAAGCGCTGATAGGCAGAGCTACATGCATTTACCTGGAAAGTTCATAAGACGCTGCAAAGTTTGTTAGAAAATCCAGTTTTACACCAAATGGAAAAGTCCCATGGAGAGTTGATAACTGAGGATCTAATTTACTAAGAGGCTAATAAAAGAAAAGGACAATAACCAGCAGACCTAAAGAGAGGAAATAAAATCACTCTTTGTCCAAAGTAAACAAGCAAAATTTACCTTAAATGGGTCCTGCAAGAAACTGTACTTACCAAAACAATGTCTGCCTGACTTGAAATCTGAATATTTTGCAATCAGTCCATAACGTTGTATGAAGCTTTGGAAAGGAATTCTGTGTAATAGAAATTAAGAGTCAGTCCAAATCCAAGAGAAACAACCAATGCGTTAACAGTTAACAGAAAAAATGTCTCACCTTATTGGAAAGCCAGCAGCACTAATATATAGTCTCCACAATCCCAGGCCTCCAACTGCACGATAACCTGGCAGCAGACGGAAAATATTCATTAAAACCTCTCCCCTTTTGTGAAAATAGAAAGCACTGCCTCTCACTGGTGTCCCTGTGGTACTGCTGAAAGAGAGACCAGTATTAAATGTGTGGGAAGAGCCTCTACCTCCTCCTTTTTGAAGGTCAGCGGCTTGCAGTCTGGGTTCGGTTTGATGCAGCGAGTGTAGTGAGGGGTTGTGGTGTGGAGGATCCTCATCAGGCTCTCCAGAGAGTTCTACAATCAGACATTAACTTCAGTACCACAACTACACCTAACTACAAGCTAATGTAACCCTGGCCATGAAGGCCTTTTCCCACCTTGAACTTGGAGACCACTGTGACTTTACTGAGCCCCTTGGTAGTTGGGTTCTTGGTTTCCTTGTCAGTGAAGATCTGGTGAAGCAGGAGGTTGTCAGACTTCTGAAGCAGGTTGGTAAACTCTGGTGGCACTGGGTCCTGAAACAGTATGTATCCAGTCAGGGATGAGTGGATGGATCTGTGGTCAACTTTCTAAACACATATTTAAAGCTTTTTTTACACACCTTGTTTTTCTCAACCATCCCCTCTATCCTGTAGTTGACTTTGCCGGCGTAATGGGCCACAGCGAAGTGTGGCTCCTTGCTGAACTTGTCCCAGCTGATGTTGGCATTACCACAGAGCTCCTTCTGCAAACGAACCCTGAATGTCTTTGCGTCTGAAGCTCGATTGAGACGACTCTCCTACAGGACAGGTATGTAAAAAGTTACTTACTTACTAACTAGAGACACATATATTTAATAAATCAATGTATTAGGGCTGGACAATAAAACAATAACAACAATTATCACAATGTAATTTTTTTCAATAATATAACAAATGTTCAATAAATATTGAATAAATGTTTGATTTTATTCACTTGAATCATACACAAATTAGGACTTCATTCTTTTATTAAGATATTTATTTTGTTGAGGAAAAAGGACTGAAAAAGCTTTTACTTAATTTTACTCTAAACTAAGATTTTATCATAATTGTTTTGAATGTTCTACCTCAGATTTGTGAAGTGATCCACTGTTTGGCATCAAGTGTTGACTATAAAGAAGAGTTAAAACCACAATTAACCATCAGGTTTCTTCAACTTTCACTCAGGAGGAAAGATCAGCCTTTAAACTCAAAAGAAATAACGATTTGATACTTATTGTGATAATTATCGATATCGAAAGTTATGAAACAATTTATTGTGATAACATTTTTGGCCATATTGTCCAGCCCTACAATGTATGTATTAAATAAGAAATGACAATGCAATCCCTTTAGCAGGGAAACAATGGGTAAAAAGGACTGGAGGACAATTACTTGTTGTCCCGTCCTTCAATAAAGAAATTACAGGTGGCTTCAACATAAAGAGATAAATCCATATTACAATTTCTTTTAAAAAGAATATGATCTAAATGAAATTCCTCCTGAATTTTAGCTCTACAGGGAAGACATGTTTTGAATAACCTTCCTTGGAGACAGGTGTACAGCTGAATTTTTAGTTATGGTCTAATACAAGAACTCACTTTCAATCAAAACCTTTATGCAATATCCTTCCAAAAAGACAAATGCTTTTCAAATTGGGTTTAGTGGGTGTCAATAAAGAGATGGTTAGCTTTGTATTCTATATCCTTAAGTAAGAGTAACAATACTACTTGGTGATTTACGAAGCAGAAGCAAATACTGTTGGATAAAAGATGGCTTTTGTTCCGTTTGTAAGGCACTATTTTATTCTAGAGGGCATAACTAACTCACTAAATAGGCAATGGAAGTTAAAAAACAATCCTGGAATTGTTCGAGTATGTTCATTTGTATTTCTATTATTATTTATTTATTTTTGTTTGTTGTGTGTTTTCTTTTGCTAATATTGGTGTGCTTTGTTTGCTTGTTTGTTTCTGGGTGTGGGTTGTGTACATAATATTTTTATATTGTTTCATATTGTCTATAAAAATATAATTAAAAATAATAATGAAATGACCAGCATACCTCATTAAGAATAGAAAACACACTGACAGGGCTTCCCTCTATAAGATCCAAACAGCTCTGGTTGTCTTGGTATTTGACAAAGGACCACTGCAACCCCTCTGACACATTCCTCCTGGGAGAAGCAGAGATAAACATAAAAAGGACAAGTACAAAATCCATTTTTTCATAGTACACAAGGTACAGCAAGTTGCTGAAAGGCTGAAGAAGCCTCCTGAATGTCTGAGGCCTGGACAGCGACTCTCTCAGAGGAGCTACGGCTCTACTGAGATCTCTGCATGGAAACAGAAAAGCGATAGAGGCTACCTGCTGAGCTCTGAGATAATGAGCCACAAAGTGCTGCTGCAGTTTCTCATTGGCGTAGTTGATGCACAGCTGCTCCAGGTTATTGATGTGGAAACACTCAAACCCGTACACATCTAGAACTCCTGGAGATCACATGGAGGAGAGGACCGTGTGAGTTTATAAAAAGTACTGTGGGGGGGGGGGGGGGGGGGTAAAAGACAATAAATGCTTTTACCTATGAAGTTGCACCACGTGGATTTGTCTGCACATATGCTGTTGTTGATGAATGTAACCAGCCATTCAAATAATCTGTTGAGGGGGGGGAGTGACACTTACTTCAAAAGATAGAGAGCAGTGATTGAGACATATCTTCCCTGCAGTTTGTTGTACAAACAAACAAAAAGGCATGATGGTTTCACATTTGGTGGTGATGATGGAAAGGAGCGTTTGATGACAACGGAGTCAAACCAGCTCCTGCACCACCAGCCCTTTTCACACAACATCATCACGTCGTGACAAATCGCAGCGTTGTTTGATCATGAAATCCACATTCTTACTGGGCGTAGATGGCCTTGGCCAGGCAGTCTCTCCTCATGCTGCACTCTGCCTGGGAACAGGGCTTCAGCACGCTCTGCTTCCCCGCCTTCAACATCCTCACTCTTAAACTCATCTGAAGCTCCTCAGCAGGGACACACAGCAGCTCAGCAGCCCTCTGCAAGAAGTCTAAAGCACCGGCGGGAGAGGAAGGCTGTAAACGACTGTACAAACTGTATACGTAGTTGTGTTATTGCATGAGACATTTCAGAATAAATCCCTTGAATGTCTACCTTAAGGAGATTTTAAGTACTCAGTAACTGGACGTGAGTGAGAAGAGTTGATTAAATATATAAACATAATCATATCCAATACCTTTAGACTGTTCATCTAGGTTACAAGGTTGTGATTCATCTGTTGGAGAGGAGAAATTCACATTCCCCAGTTGCAGAATCCCTGCTAATATCTGTAATGCATTACAACAAGAAATCACAGTCTATCCTTACAGAGGAAGAAAGATTTTTTATTTTTTTTGAAATGCACAAAAAACTACATTGAAAGTTAATGATCAGGTAACACTTTACTTTGACCCCCCATTTAGCATTTATAATCAGTATATACACATTTAATAAATAATTTATAACACAATAAATGTAGCATATATAAGTCTTTATGAACGTATTTCTCAACAAATATAAGTCCTCCTGCTGGATGCTGGGGTATAACCAGATTATTGACAATGTAGTAAAACACTATTAGACTATAATATATAAAATATGTCATCATAGGAGAAGTTATAATTGTTGACCAATACTGTACAATAATAAAAATTGCCCTTATATCTGCATAGAATTACACTGTAGTGTGTTCTAAACTATTTATTAAATGTTTATATACTGTTCCTTTATAAATGCTAAATAGAGGCGGTTAAAGTAAAGTGTCACTGATGATGAATACCTTACCCTGAATAGCTGTCTCTGCCTTTCTGAATGAATGCCCAGATGAACCATTGCCTCGACAGTCTCATGAAAACAATCCTCTGGAAATGATTAAATGAGCAGCAGTTACTTGTGAGAATGACACAAATGTACAGAACAAAAGACAAATAAAAGCCTAAAAAAACACATGAAAATTAAAGACCAACCATCAACTGTTTTTTCAGTATTTGGCAGCCACACAAAACGTTGGCCAGGTGGCATCTTCCACTCCTTCCTCTGCTCATCTGTGGCCCCTTTTAGCATCTGAAAAACAACATGCTCTCCCCACTTACATCAGAATTACATATGAATGTGTTCATATTCAACTAAAACACCATATAAGAGTACGAGGTTTAGAGCAGCCCTGTTAACTCACCTGGTAAAAGATGTGGAAGTTTCTCTCATTAGCCGGCTGGCAGGCCACCCTGGTCTTCTCCAGCAAATATGTCTGCACAGACGCCCCCACTAACAGCTGACACCTTCATTTAAAAACAACATGTTAAAGACATCAAACTGACCAACATCGTGCACTACTGTAAAAAATAAGTGAGCTGATGCTATCTCCTGTAATGATGAAGGAAGTGCAGCAGGCTCGGCTGTAAGTACCTGTCTAGCTGAAGCTGGATGTACTTTCCAAAACGACTGCTGTTGTTGTTCCGCAGCGTACAGGCATTGCCTACATGGAGGGTAGAGTGTTGACTAAATGACTCTCTACAGTGATTATTTTCACGTGTGCTAATGAGACACCAGCAATTAGTCGTCTCACCAAAAGCTTCCATGATGGGGTTGGAGTCCAGCACCCTCCGCTCTATCCTCTCCACGGTGTCCTGGCTCTTCACAACTGAGGAGGAGGCCGCCACAGTAGCGTAGTATTTCATCAGGCAACGAGATGTCCATGTCTATAAAAAAACAAAATCAGTGGTCCCCGAAGATTGTTTCTACTAATCCTGGGACCCAGTTTCCAGAGATCACCCACGTTAAGGGCTGCAATGTGATGATTATTCTCCTTACTGCGTCATCTCTAGACTACATTTGTGTACATCACAGCCCAACGTGACTTCTTCAAATTGACTGTTGACCAAAACTCAAAAGATGATCATTATTCAAAGCAGCAAATCCTCAAATGTTGAGAAGCAGGGAACAGACAGTGTTTGTACATGTTTAATCAATTACCCAAAATTGTTGAAGACTAATTATGTGTCCAGCTATCCTCCTTACAGATAATTCTTATTTTTCACCCCATTAACCAACTAGTTATTAATAAGTCTATAAGATGGGGAAAATGATGACAAATTGCCATCAGATGTTGCATGATTTCTTCAAAATGCTTATTTAGTCTAGCCCACAAAACCCCCAAGCAGTTAGTTATTTTAAAACCTGTTTTATGAGAGAACAGCAAAACAATCTCACATTTCAAAAGCTGTAACCAGAAACGTTGTTTGTTCAAACCAAACCAATAGTGCTGCTGAAAATGTAAAAAGACACATCACTTCCTATGGGACAGCTGAGTTTTTGTGCATTTAGAGCAGCAAAATAACTGGTTTGAACTGAGCAGTACAAAAAAATAGTAGTCAGGGCATCAATCACACAAAGACTTAAAATTCTTCAAACAAGCCAGTTTACAAATGCATAATAAGCTTAGTCCATATACTGTATATTGGCCAGTACTCCAGCTTGCACAGTTGAATATGTGACACTGTAAGCAAAAAAGCAACTGATAGTTTGGATCACCTATGTGTTTGGTTTACCTTTCCTGCACCACTCTCACCACTGACCACCAAGGATTGGTTCACTGGCTCCAGCTGGCCCTGAACATTCCTGTAGGCCTCTTCCGCCACAATAAAGATATGTGGTTTGAAGTCCTGTTGACAAAAATATACAGACTTATTAAGATGGTAGTCAGGGAGAGCCGGCAGTCCCGCCAGTTCAGTTTAATGAGTTTGACTTTGAAGCCGTTTTTGACTAAAAGGAGGCAGACGATGAACTGAAGGATTTATTTTGGAAGTATATACTATTCTAACTTGTGTATAAGAAATATACACAAGTTAGCTGAATTACAGTGAGATCCAGCTGTGACTTTGTAAATACCTGGGGCTGAACAGCACTGTGATACTCCTTCATCACATCCAGAGTGTAGAGGTCTGGGATTGGCTGGAAGGGATTAAGAGCCACCAAGGTGCAGCCAGCATGGGTGTAAAAAACCTTCACACTGTACCTGGCCTGTAGACATTTCAGCACTGCCAGAGAAAAATATTAACTGGCATTAGGTACTTACCGGAAAAAAACAGGTAAGCCAACAGACAACAGCAAACCAGAGAAGACAGCAGCATCAAAATGGCATATATGTCTTTAATATAATTATCTGACCAGGCCTATATAAAATAATATGAACCATAAAACAAATGCAGCACAATCAGTCCAAGAGCTTTACAAGAAAATATCTTACAGCAAATCCTTGCAGTTATCCTGACCTCTGCTGATAATAAGCTGTACTGTTACAGCTCTTACAAACTAACAGCACTTGAAATATAAACTGAAGGGTTCACAGTATCAATGACACATGCTGATCTTTTCTTACATAATGCCAATGACACTGCATTTTAAGACAAACAAACGGAGAATAAAAATGACGATGATAAAAAAAGATATTGTGCATAGACATTTTAAGATATTACGCTTCTTATTATGTGGCCCTATCGTATTACAAATGTATAAGGAATTCAAGAATTATCATTTTCTTGGGAGGCGTGTATCTGCCAGCAAAGCAAATCATTCCCTTCATTCATACATTACATTTTTTCCCCTGCAAGTTTTATCTGGAGGTGGTTAAATAATACAAAGCAAATGCAGCAATCCAAGGTGACACAAGCTAGAAAACTCTGTGTCTCGCTGGATGTGTATTTGTAAATGAAGACAAGGTTTACGCAACAAATCAAATACTCAGCACTTACTGACATGCTGTGGTAGAGATTTCAATATTTATGCCATGATCAGATAAATTAGATGGGAAACTAACTAAGATTCATAAAAAAATAGGCCTAACACAGCAGGCACTACCAGCACCAAGCCCCATCAAGTGATTAGACTCTAGCCCCAGTCATATCGTAGCCCTATCTGTTACCTGTTGTCGGGGTCACTGGGTTGACTTTTGTGAGGTCGTCATAAGTGTGGAGTAGGTCTTCATCAGTGAGGAAGGCCCGAATTTCTCCCTCCAATGAATCATTTAAGGACGGGAGAGGAGAATGGACTTTCTGGACGAATCCTTTCGCCTATGTGAATGGGGTGAGGTGAACACACACAGAAAGGACATTGTGTTTAAAATATGAACTGACACCTTGTTAGTCATGCCAAGTAAAAAAAATGTTTATGGGTGGAAACAATGGGGAAAAAAGAAGAAGAAGAAGAAAATGTTCTCCTTTAACATTATGGAACAGAAAAGTGCATGATAATAACAGAAAAGCCAGGGAGAGGAGGATTATTTTTCTATGCATATTGTATTTGTAATTCCAAGGATGAGTCAGAAACCAGACAGCTGCGCCCATTCAGCTGATATTATCATGTAGTCATGTCTGATCATGTCCATTTTCAGCAGGTTTGGATGACTGAAATGTAGTATAAGGGCACATTTCCTATCTCCACACCTCACTCATAAGAGTACAGCAAAATAGATCTTATTTTGTACATCAAAATGTCAAACTTTCTGTGGGTCCATACAATCTGTCAACTTTCCAAAGCTGTGAAGTGCCTAAAAATGCTCCATTTCTATGCAATTAAATGTTCACATGTTCATTCTTGGCTTTGAGAGAGTCAAACAACATTGTATACCATACCATGATACTTTCATTGACACCGTGGTTCATTTAGGATGCCCAAAACATCCCATAGTCTTATATGGCCAATTGCTAAATGTAAATTGTGCAGAGCCGCTTTGGTCATTTTGTCTAACTGTGTATAATTCAGACTGACAAATGGAAGTCTGCTTTATCCTGCAAAGATCACATGGCCTGGACCTGCAGGCTGTCTGACAACTGTCAACAGTCTGAGGTACTAAATGTGTGCAGACAGAATTAATCCAACAGCAGGTAACCTACATCCCATCATTCTGTAAGGCCATTTTAAACCATGTAATTAGTCTTAATGTCATGAATTGAATACCTAATGTTACACAACTGATATCCTGAGCACAGATTACACAGTAACGTTAACGTTACATTCAATTGACATAGCTAACACATAGATTTACAAGTTCCATGTTACAGCAGTATGTTATATTATAATAAGCACTAATCTCATGTGTAACGTCAGATAATGAACAAAATATAAGAAAGTGATTTTTGTGACACCTGTTTGAGTATCCCTCGTCCTTTTCTGTTGTTTACATGCCAAAGTCCAGCCAAAAATCTGACAATTTAGTGAATGTTGGTAATATACTGGCCTCTGATAAGACACACAACTTTACAGCATCGTGTTTAAGCCATGACTATTACTATAACTGCTGCTTTAAGCACAACTACATTTGACAGTATTCAGCCACGTTCCTCGATGTGTGTAATTCAACGTTACATTTTCTCAAGCAACTTAAACGCTGGGTTGGTAACGTTGTTCAGTCACAGGTATGCGTTTGCACAGCTTGATAGAAAGGTACTCCAGGTTAAATGTTAAATATATCATCACCTATTTTATAAACCAAAAAAAAAAAAACGGATAACATCTAAACCACCAGCTGATAACTTGTGGACGGGGTCTTTCCCGTGTCTTAACTCACCGTTCTCCCTCCATAACTGCGTCCTGCTCCAATATTACGTCGGCTGTCCGCAGAACTCATTGATTTTACCGTTACCTTCGTGTCTGTCGAAAAATCAGCCGGAAAACTTTGATCAGAACTACGCCTAAAATCGGATTAAGACTAGTTATTCTACTCAGCGGTCGTCCTGTACTTCAGTATTTTCCATTACTGTCAGAAATTCCTCAAGGACAACTTCCCGTGCCTGTTAACTGTCCGACTGCCTTCCAAACTCCACACACTTATTCCCGCCCCTTCCCTTCGTGGGTCCAGCTGTCCACCACTGGGATTTATATGGGTAAGATTTATGGTATTATTCTTATTTTAGGACCGTTTTTAATGCCACTAAATTAGGACTTTATATTTAACAATTCTATCATCTATCTATCTATCTATCTATCTATCTATCTATCTATCTATCTATCTATCTATCTGTTGCAAGTCGATACTAAACCAGAGCTCTTTGACCGTTAATGATATACTTTTAGTAATGTTAGTACTAAAACTTTTTAGAATGTGTTTTTAACATGCTAGAAACTTCAGTCCAGGTCTCAGGTTGGAAGTTGACAAAACTCCGAGTTGCAATGAATGCGTCATGTGACCGAATGCGGAAATGAGCGCAGGAGGTAACGTTAGGG